CTTTAGTAGGAGAGAAATTGACGGTGCATAAAATTTTCAGTGTAATATCTGTACGGAGTTTCAGTATGATCCCAGAACGTCTCAAGCTATGTAGCAATTACCTTATTCCATGGAATAAATTATTGTACTTTTGCATATTTTTAGTGATTTTAACGACTCCTGTAGTTTTGAACAGCCTATATTTTTATACACAGCCCTAATATATTACGCGCCAATGACAAGATCTAGAACCTTGCAATCTCAAAATAAAAAAGCATCAGTACTCGAAATGAAATATATCATGTTAACCTTTTTCGCCATTTGAAAGGCAATATAATTTGACATTGAAGATTCGTAGCATTTCCAAAGATAAGTGTCTATCATAAACTGGTACGCGAACTCGATACAGCTACGGCCATTAAATACATACAATTCACTTATATATACTTGTAAATATTATACCGGGTGGCCCAAAAAAAAGTACTCCTGTTTGATTCGTAATAACATCTAAACAAGTATAGCTTTTAAAGAGAAATAACTTGCATCAAATAGAGGAAGGACTAACTTAGACTTTGATATATTACAGTTGTATTTCACTTAAAAATTCACGGAGATATTAATCTTTAAATTCGGGAGGATATTTCTGGATGTGTCTGAAATATGCAAAAATCGGCGTATCAAATATTAATCAAGATTTGCCCGACTGAAACATGCACTATTACCAGTAAATAAATGACATTTGACAAATTGTTTATTATGAAACAAAGTATTATTATATCTACAAAATACAAGCAAGATTCATTCGTCCGAAATTCGCGTGTGTTCCTAGCACGAATACGTTTCCTTATTTCATGAGACCACTGCATCGCGAAGGATCGTCATTGGATCGTTCGTAGTTCTGAATTAGGGCATGCTGTCACAACGGAATTGTGAAGCTCTTCTAACTTCTGCAACGTTCTGAAATCTTGTTAAGAATACCCAAACTCTTTTGCCGTTTCTTAATCTTGGCAAGTTCATGGAGTAAACTGAGAATTATATGAAACACAATCAAACCATACAACTCCATAAGACATAACAATTAAGCAACTCCCCAGAGACATGCAACATTTTTGGAACAAAACGAAACAAAATAGTAGCGTTGATACGGTGATGTGTATTTGCAAAAAGCAATATTATTTCCTTCAATAGAGAATATTCATCCTGCTCTAACCGAGAAATAATCTACTCAGTCTGTTTGAACCCATTAAAAACATAAAAAAATTAGGCTATTTAAGAATACGAAAAATTTAAGCGCCTGCCTTCCATGGTCAGTCTTTCATGTACATTTAAGTTTGCAAAGACCTAATATTAAATACTTGCATAATTTCGAACGTTCATATTTCAGGAAACAATGAGCTAAGACTTGCATGTAAGATGTCTAAATCTACGCCATATCCCTTACAAACCTTAACGATAATTCGCTGAAATACAAGTTAGCCTAATATGTCATTAAGCAAACAAACGCTGGAGTTAATATTTGATATGCCGATTTTCGCTAATTTTAGACACATTCCAAAATATGCTCCCAATTTTTAACATTAATATCTCCGTGAATTTTTAAGTTAAATACAACTGTAATATATCAAAATCTAAGTTAGTACTTCCTCTATTTAATGCAAGTTATTTCTCTTTAAAAACTTTACTTGTTTAGAAGTTATTACGAATTAAACAGGAGTACTTTTTTTTGGGCCACCCGGTATTACAATTGAAGTTTGTCAAAGAATGCAATATTGCCGTACACTTTCGAATACCGTGCGCCAACTATAGCACGGTCTACAGTAACTTCGAACTTGAATTATACACAATTACTGCATTGAAATGTAACGATTTTTTGTTAGGAGACTACCTACATATTATACTTGTTATTAAAATGTTTTCATAATTAACACAGTAGAGCAATAAAAAGTTACCACGGTCTACATATTAAAACTAGCTCTTTGAATATAATAGATCATAGCTCATTAGTATTCATGAAAATACGATTTTTGTGTGTAGACCGTGGCGGATTTTAAGGCATAGCTGATTTTATATGATTTGCTGCATACTGGTGCAAAACGTAATTGGACAAGCCTTTTAATCTATATTTTTAATCGTTTGCGCGCTTATATACTTCTAAAATCACTGCAAAAAAAAGTGTAGACCGTGTTTCGAGCTTTGAATATTATGTTACACATCATGTCACTCGATCGGAAAGTATAACATATCAACTTAACAATTATAGCAAAGCCCTGTAACTTAATATAATTCAGATGTTTAGTTCTTGCCTTAAATTAATTAAATCATGTATATATAGGTTTCTGTCAAACATTGTATTCAGCAAGTTTTAGATGCACCTTGAAATTGCACTGTCAGAAGGAAGCTGTAATATATAGTTAAAAACATACAAACGTACTGGCATATATCGTAAGCGGCAACACTTGCAGTTAACGAATAATAATACTTGTATGAAAAATGTCATTTAGTTGTATAAATTAGATTCTCAAGCACTTCAAGAATGCATAAACAAACATGAGACTAGTACAATATATATTCTGTCATTCTCGTCACATAATTATTGCTAAAAATTAGGCTCGTGGGCGCGTTTTTTGGTTAGGAAATCTGTGTCTTTACCGGACAATATTTTTTTTTCAAAAGATGGTCAGGAATGGATTATTGAGATGCAAACAAGCGCAATTTTACTGACAAAGCATAGTTTTTGCCTTTTTGTGTCATATTAGATACAAAAACCGTCTATTATTTTCTATAGTGATTTTCAGACAATCCTGGCCAAAACTCATGTGGACACTTATAATCCACCTTTGCAAAAATCATAACAAACACCTAAAACTTGAATTTACTTGCATATCCCCCACTCCCCCTCTTCAATGTTGCTTATCCGACTTAAGGCCCTGTTACACGGTGCAATTTTTCATGCAACTTGTCTCGCAATGTTTAAAACAATTTTTTGATAATGCATTGCAAGAGGTGTTACACGCTGCAATGATATTCATGCAACTCGCAACGATACGGGACAGAGGCATGCGAAGAGAATAGGGAGAGGCGCTATTTGGCGCCAAATTTTAATTAAAGTAAAGCGTGTACTGGGGAGAGCCAATAGGAACTCTCCAAGCATTAAATATTGCGAGACAAGTTGCATGAAGCCATGTTACACGCTGCAATGCTAAAAATAATTAGTGCAATCGTTGCCAAAAGTAGAACCGACTTCTACTCTCTGCAATGCTTCATGCAACTTGTCTCGCAACGATTTTGACCATTGCAAGGCATGTTAAACGGTGCAATGACTCGTGCAACTTGTCTCGCAACGCCATTGCGAGACAAGTTGCATGAAAAATTGCACCGTGTAACAGGGCCTTTAACCACACTTCGTATTTGATGAAAAATCCCATTCAACATTGGCATGCGGGAGCGGGGGGATAATTATTTAGGGAAAACGCCTTTCGAGGCCAAATTCTGTGGGTTGTCCACAACCTTTTGTCCAGGATTGTAGGTCGCCAATACAGAAATCAAACCAGATAACTTTAAACCTAAATCCACTGATTAAATAAAGTTACACAGGTGGGATTCTTCACTCCGACTCTGTATAGATATCATTTTCGAAATTAAGTTATTATCTTGCGTCTAACCTAGAAAAAACAATTACTTGGTCACAATTTTCGACCCGAAGCTCGTGGTAACGTTTATTAAGTAACAACACTAACTATAAAATCAATCCCTGGGTAGGAATTTTTGATACATTTGACCGGCATTTGTTTTCCCTCCCCCCAGGCATTTTACACAAATTTTCATTTCTTGGTCAAATCCCCTGTCTTTGCCCGCACCCCACCCGCCGTCCCGGAATTCACATATTTATCAATAGCGACGCCATCTTGAATTTCATGTATAGCGCAATGCATTGTGGGTTATCCAGGGTAATTGAGCCTTTTAAAGTGCTGTAAATCAAATATGTAGGCGAAATCACATGTTTTTATGGTTGTAAATAACAGACAATTTGTAGAATAACTACCAAAACAAACGAAAGCTCGCAACAATAAAAAGTCTGGATAATATCTATAGTTTAAAACTTTGTTAGGCCTGAAGGGGGTAAAAAATGCAACATGATGCGCATAAAATTTATTTCTACTTTTTCATTGTCGTCAAGAAAGTGTTTATGATAATTTGTTACGTTCGCGGGCGAGAACGAACAAAAATGTATGTCTCCATCTTCATCTTGTTTACGCTCGTTGCCCTCCTTGACCAGACACAGCGACACGCGCTGGCCAAGGAGGCTTTCTTGTATTTGTAATATCCTTCTTCTAAGTCTTATAAACTTTTCGACGACAATAAACCAATAATATCAATTTATTCTTCTTGAACAACAACAACTACTCTAAACTTTTTAATTCTCTTTAACTATCTCATTTAACTTAAGCTTTCGCTGTTTATATACTATCCAATAGATATTTATAGAACATTACATAAACGCTATTTTTAGATATTACGTATAAGATAAATATAGCAAAACCATGACTCAGCATAATTACGTAATGTCGTAATTAAGAATGTTTATGACGTGACTGACTTCACGTCACACTCACCCTCTTGAAAAAAAAGAAAGTTTGTCTTTCGTTAACTGTTCGTAACTTCCATTATATCCATATCAAATGATTGTTCTTTAAATGTTATAATTATACTTTAAAATGCTCTATAAGGAATTAAATTTGGGAAAACTCGATACAGCAAGAATAGCGTCCTTAAACTCTAGCAACAGTATAACAGAATAGGGAAGATTCAACAACAGAAGAACTACATCTTCAAACTAAATTACAAACTCCCTTTTTAATCTTAAATTTAAACAACATTTTGTACTTTAATAATAATTATTACTTTAACTTACGGGAGATTTATCAAATTATTACAACTTTGTAACAAAACAGGGCAATAAACCACTGTGACAAACCACTAACAAACCAGTGTAAAAACCACTGTATCAAACCACTAACAAACCAGTGTAAAAACCACTGTATCAAACCACTAAACGTGGTCAACAATACAAAATCTTTCCCCACTGTTAGGCATCACTGAGTAGACGTTGGGCACAAATCGCACAATCTTAGCAGAATGAACCTTTTGACGAAGACGTAGTGAACCTTCAGCGTTGCACTCTTGTACTTCAGCCTCTGGCTAAGTCGACAATTTCATCTGCATGACATTAAAACTGGAAACAGATCCATCAATAATATAACACCAAAAGGACAATCATCAGACTGACAACAAAAACAACCGCTCTTATCCGAGAGAGTGGTTTCCCGCCTGAGCCCCCAATTGTTACTTGGGGGGCAAGAGCGAACAAAAATGTATGTCTCCATCTTCATCTTGTTTACGCTTGTTGCCCTCCTTGACCAGACACAGCGACACGCGCTGGCCAAGGAGGCTTTCTTGTATTTGTAATATCCTTCTTCTAAGTCTTATAAACTTTTCGAAGACAATAAACCAATAATATCAATTTACAGTTCTTCTTGAACAACAACAACTACTCTAAACTTTTTAATTCTCTTTAACTATCTCATTTAACTTAAGCTTTCGCTGTTTATATACTATCCGATAGATATTTATAGAACATTACATAAACGCTATTTTTAGATATTACGTATAAGATAAATATAGCAAAACCATGACTTAGCATAATTACGTAATGTCTTAATTAAGAATGTTTATGACGTGACTGACTCACGTCACACAATGAATTTACTGCATGGTGTTTCAATACGAAAATAACAGCTTTTAAATAGGGATTGTTACCCTGGATAGCCCATAATGCATCACGATTCAAGATGGCGCCGCTATTGGTGAATAGGTGAATTTACATTGGTATGTGCATTATATATGGTCACAGAATAAAGATCCTAGGAATGAGCCGATACCGATACCAAATACACGATACTATCGATATCCGAGGGTTTTGAAGAAAAGTATCGATACTGGCAAAAAATATTTATCGATTGTTTTGATATTTCTGAGCCTGCGATATTTTTTCATTTTGGTCTGTGGACTCAAAATGAAAATGAAACCAAAAAGCTTAAATAGGCTTAAATACTATAAAAGTAGTTCATTTTCTATGGTGCTATAATGGTGTTTGTGGTTATGTTGGTTACAATGAATGTTTTATATTGTTAGCATTGTTGCCGTTGTTAATGATTAAAAATAGTCTTTTGTTGTTGTGGTTGTTCGAGTTGGGAAAATATCGATATCGGTATCGATATCGAGAAAATGGCAAATATCGAGCAAATATCGTATCGAATGAAAAAGTTGGTATCGCCCATCCCTAAAAGATCCATACAGAACGGCAACTTGCGTCGGAAGCTTTGAAGTTTCTGTCCTTGTGCATGTCGCATTACGCATGTTGTCCGCCATTGCTCTGGCCAGTAAACTGCATATTTTTGCATAAACTTTACTGAGTTTCTCTTCTGTGCGGATCTTTATTCTGTGTTACGGTGTTTGTAACAACTAAAAGTAAAAGCCCGCGTATGAGAATCCAGATTTTGCAAGTTAGCCAAAAATGGTTCTTATATAAATGGTGCTTACTGTGAAATTAGGCTATTCAGGTTCTTAAACGGCTTCTTATTTCCTTAAGAAAATAGCTACTCGTTGCTTCTATAGGGCAACCTCGTTCCCAGAGCATAATAGAGTTCACTGTCCCAGGGTCTTCCCTCCAGGTATAGATCGCCGACTCGGTTCGATTAGCGTGGCAAAATGAACATGCCAATATGGCGGACCAAGCGGTCAACACATTAAGTGACTTCGTCAATATACGTCGCTTTGAGCAACGTTAACGGAAAACCACTGATTGTAACTTGTTTATTGTCCATGGGGACTCATGTAGACGTCAATTTGAATGTGAAATATTCAAAATTACCATCGCTATATGTTCAAAACAAATCGGCGAAATCACATATTTTCGCCGCTTGCTCGTAATTCACAAGTTTGTTGACGTAAATGCCCATTTCTGCGCACGACTACAATTTCATGCGCTAAATAAAATTTAGTCCCCCCCCCCCTCTGCACATATTAGGCTGCTGCTACGCTCGCTCGCTTCAGGCTCGCTCGCTCCGCAGCAATCACAGTCGGCGATCTTTACCTCCTATTTATTATGTGGCTGAGTTAAATAGCGCACGCTGATTGGTCCATTTGCGGTCTGTAGAAAATAATTGACATTATCGCGATAACTTATCATAATTATGCATGACGTAGTAATTATGCATGACGTAGTAATTGTGAACAATGTGCTCTCTTGTAATCTGTATGTTTTGAAGTTCTGATCGAAGTTTATCAAGAAAAATTCTCAAAGTTTACGAATAAATCAGAAGTAATCAACATTTTATTTCATGGTGCCGACTCCCGGGAAGTATTGAGTCTAGTTTAGAATAAATTTAAGTGTTTAAAGTTGGAATTTTATCGAAATATTTGTATTGAATCTCCGTGAAATATATCAAATATGGCGGATGTCAAGAAGAAAATCAAGGCACGTCAAGCCCACCGTACATTTGTAGAAAGCGTTATGACAAAATCTCGTGAGTTGATTGCTGGTGAAATTACTGAAGATATCTGTCGGAAGCTACAAGTAAATAAACGAATTTTAGAAGGTAAGATTGCTCTCTTGGAAAGTATAAATGGTGAAATTGTTGATCTTTTGAACGCGAAAGATAATATCGAGAAGGAAATTATTGATAGCTCAGAGTTTAATGCCACAGTCGACGAATGCCTCGTTCAAATTGATATTGTATTGACGGAAAATGCAAAAGTTCAAGTGAGTCCACAACAACCTGTTCTTACACCAAGTACTGCACCTATCAAGGCTAAATTACCTAAGTTGTCTCTGAATAAATTCTCGGGTAATCCTGTTGACTGGCAGGCATTTTGGGATTCGTTCGATTCTGCAGTTGGGTCAAACTTGTCATTAAGTGATGTGGACAAATTCAATTACTTGAAATCATTATTACATGGTTCTGCAGCAGAAACAATCAGTGGATTTTCGCTTACAAAGGAAAATTATTGTGAAGCTATCAAATTACTAAAAGAAAGATATGGGAATAAGCAAGTTGTTATTTCAAGTCAAATGGATTCCTTGTTGAAATTGCCTGAAGCTACATCAATGGGTGAGGTGAAGAAACTGAGAAATATTTATGACAAGTTGGAATCGCATGTTCGAAGTCTACGAAATGTTGATGTTTCTCCAGATTCATATGGTTCATTTCTTGCTCCAGTTGTTATGTCAAAGATTCCAGAAGAATTGAGGATTATTATTACAAGGGATTTGCCATCTGGTAAGTGGAAATTAGAACCACTTCCCAAGATATTTAATACAGAATTGCAACTGCGAGAGAAATGTGCCCTTGTCAGTGGTACTGGTCAGCGGAAAGAACAACATTTCAGTCAAAGAGACAAAGGGAAATATATCAATCGTTATCAATCATCTACAGCTGCCTTGCTAACAGAGAACAAGAGTGTTCAATCAAGGGAAGGGCCATGGTGTACATTTTGTAATGGGAACCATCCATCATCTAACTGTACGATTGTGACCGATATCTCTGCTAGAAAGCAGATTCTGCGTCGACGGGGTAAGTTCTTCAAATGTCTTAAAACTGGCCACTTAGTTAGAGATTGCAAATCGGGAAAACCCTGTTATAACTGTGGTAATAATCATCATACATCCATATGTGAAACCCGTAGTAAGCCTAAGACCTACACCCCACAATCAGTTAACCCAAATATTGTTGAGTTCAATATAAAACTGTATGTTATCCAAATATTAGTATGACGTAATACTGAGAGACAAATGCATGATGGGATTGTTGTGTTGTTAGTTGAACTTCCTCGTGAAAGCAACTTACTGTAAAAAACTACATTTGTAATAAACGTGAAAATAAAGAGTGATTTCATTACAAATACGGTGTTCTAAAGTCATGGCTTCAACAGGTTATGGGCCCAGCAGAGAATCACGCTGGTCAAGGTTGACTTTCGATGGAAACGAAAGCAATTACGAACTGTGGGAAGCGAAATTCCTCGCGCACATGAGGTTATTAAAACTAAAGGATACTATCCTGCCGTCTGAAGAAGAGGCTGACGCAACAAAGAACGAAGAATGCTACGCCGAGCTTATACAGTGTTTGGACGACACCAGTCTGTCATTGGTAATGAGGGATGCTACCGACGATGGCCGAAAGGCTTTACAAATACTCCGAGACCATTATGCAAATCAAGGCAAACCAAGAATCATCACACTATACACTGAGCTAACGTCACTTGAAAAAGCACTTCACGAGACAGTCACAGATTACTTAATAAGAGCCGAGAAAGCAATAACAGCGCTTAAGAACGCCAAAGAAACGTTAAGCGATGGGCTAATAATTGCTATGATCTTAAAGGGGCTGCCTGATTCATATAAACCGTTCTCGATACATGTGACCCAAAGTGCAAGTGAGATACCGTTCGCGAAGTTTAAGAGCATGTTGAGGAGCTTCGAAGAAACGGAAAAGCTCAACACCAAACCGAAAGTTGATCAGGTAATGAAAGCTGAGTTTCCTTCGCAAACAATGACATGTTATGGCTGCGGGAAAAGAGAGCATTTAGTCAGAGAGTGCCCTGCTAAGAGCGAGAAGAAGTGGTGTAACTATCACAAAAGTACAACACACTCGGATAGCACCTGCAGAAGTCAGCAAAAGAGCAAAGACCAAGCCAAACGGGTGTCGGAGAAAGAAAACACCTCTAAAGATGAACATTCATTTGCATTCAAAGTTAACGACGAAGCAACAGGGAAAATCAATCGAATGGGAATGTTGGTTGACACAGGTGCCACTTCTCACATTGTTACTACTGATATTTTAAAGCAAATGGACATGACATTTAAACCATCAAAACATTACATTGAACTGGCTGATGGCACACGAGCTAGTAATATTGCATTGAAACGAGGGGATGCTGAAGTGTTTCTGAAAGATACAAATGGAAAATGTGTGAAAACGGTGCTGAAAAACGCCTTATATATACCATCCTATCCTCAAGATATTTTCTCAGTGAAGGCAGCCACATCAAATGGAGCCGAGCTTCGATTTGCACAAGATACTGGTGAGCTAACCCTTGAAGATGGTACCATTGTTGAAATTGAAGAACATGGACGGTTGTACTATTTGACTTCCATAGACAGTCATGAGAACGATAGCGTAAGGGAAGTAGATAAAGTAAATCTCTCGTATGATATTAACACATGGCATGAAATCCTAGGGCACTGCAATTTTGAAGATATTATAAAACTACAGGGGGTAGTTAAGGGCATGAAATTCTCAGGTAAAATTGAGTCATCTAAGTTAGGTTGTAATACACGTGTAGAAGGAAAATTTGTAAACAGCAGGAGTAGGATTCCTGATGCAAGATCTCAAAAATCATTGGAGAAAGTGCATGTGGATTTGGCAGGTCCAGTTTCTCCTGTATCAAGAGAGGGGTTTAAGTACTGCATAGCTTTTACTGATGATTTCTCAGAAGCAGTATTTGTTTACTTTCTGAAATGTAAAAGTGACACCTTTGTAGCAACAGA